TCCGATTTATATCTGCATTTCATTAACGTTTTATTTTATCTAATCTTATTTTATGTAATCCTTATTCATTTATTTAAACGAATACCTATGAAAATAAACAGCCACACCAGTTTTTGTTGCCAGTAGCAACTCTTTTTTAGTCTTTGGCGGCTGCTCGTTCGATTCTATCTCAAACGCGGGTACCACGAAGACTATTCCAGTCTTCGGCGGTCTCCCGCGGATGTAGTGCATGAAACCGGAAGCCAATCTTTCGCTAGGCAATAATTCTATATCCGTCACAAGGACTCGAGTAGTGTTAGCCAAGGTGCGAGCTACGTTCCTCGCTACGTTTATGGGATAGGCCATGTCCCTCTGTCTTCTTTCTGTCTCGCGATCGCCCCTTTGAAGATCGGACGCCGCGCAGTCCCCCTGAGAACGTTGCGGTTGACCCAAAGCTGGCGGACGGCCGGCTGGGAAAATCAAATGAACCGCGACCTGCAGAATCGACAGATTATATTATTTTAATTGTATCAATTATTTCCAACTTCATTTATCCAAATTAACAGGACACCTTGTACATTTCAGGCTCGCATCGACATGCCCGGTCCAAGAGAGCAACAGCTATCCCGGCGTCCAAGCCGGGGGTGAAAATGGCTAGGGTCAAAGGTCCTTCCCATCTCTGAGCTAGTTCCAAGATACCGTACGCTTGATCAGCCGTGGCATGAGTACACAGGGTCACCTGTAACAAAATTAATTTTAATATAAATGTCAATCGCGCGTCTCATGTTAAGGATGTATTGGCTATACAGTCAATCCCAAAAGTTTATGCACTTTAGAAACGCATTTTTTAAAAGAAAATCAGACGTCGGAAGACAATAATAAACTCTTGGGATTGATTTGTATAGCCAATACATCCTTAAGAACTTACCTGCGGAAGTTTGTCCTGTTCCTCGGCTCCCCGCAGAATGAACGGTAATACCCTGTAGGGACTCTTCTCTCCAATTTCCGGGCTCCAGGTGATCTTGGAGGCCGGATAGGAGAGGACGTCCGGCAGCCCGTAGTGCCAGGTACAATGGCTCTTGTTTCTCGGCTGTAAACCGGCCATGTGCATGCCCGCAGAAAAAACGAACGCCTCCGGCTGTCCATCTTGCTGAGGACTCGGCTGAGTTCTCTTTATTAAGGCGTCCGTGTCACTGATTATGAGAATTGGGAAATAAACAACGACTTGGTTGATTAAAAATCGCACAATCAGAATCGTGAAGAGAATCAGAATCGAAGATATGAGGAACCTCCGACTGGACCAACGCATTTTCTGTTTTCCATATTAGTAAATGAATTCGAGTAAACTCCGAACGATGATTTCTGTACAAATCGTATAATATTAGTCATCAACTTGAGATGTTAAACGATGTGTCAATTAGTTAACCAACTGATTATTTTCACATGATTGAGATAACATGAACCAGCAGATTATTAATTGTCTTTTTTATTTATATAAGAATCAGTATCGTGCGCACGAGATTAAATGAAGTTTACCTAAATTACTCGCATTGCCGTGCATTTGTCCGCAACGGACTGACAAAACTCACCCATTTTGGATCGATACGGCGCATGGGTGAACCACCCCCGACACAGATTTTAAACGTACTCCACTTGTCAGAACGTGAAAGAGCTCAAATAATCAAATGATATTTCCTCAGCTTCACGTTTTTAAATGATTAAGTCTCAGTATCTAAATGCACGAGTCACTGGGGTCAGTTGATTGATTTCTGAAACACGCTATTGCTATGATTTTCTCTCCTTTATGATTTTACCTATTATCGCCCTTTATCTTGTTTGTTATTAACTCGCATTATACCGTGGGATATCCTTGCGATTGAACCGAAGGCTGCGTGCTAATTTTAGCACTGTCCGATGGAAAATCGTTTACACCACACCTTCGGGTTCGGCGTTAACACGCGATGCGCCGAATCTATGAGAATTCAATCTTACACTTGCCAGTAGCTTCCAACAATTTGTTCGAACCGCCACACGGAAATGGATCGTTCACACTTTAAAGAAGAATTCTTTTAATTATGATCATCGTGTTTCCTTCGATCTCGCGATGTGTATGTGCACTGTACTTAATTACAAAGAACCATCGAGTGCCGATCAACACGTGTTGAATCAAATTCGAATTTCGTCACCCCATTCTGTGTACAATGAAATAGTTATTAGAATGCTTCCAAGAACAAGCCGATTGTGAGGAGAAAAAGAAATCGCCTCCTAGATAAAAGATTGAGACATTTAAATATAAATAAACTTGAAAGTTGTTGGCTAGCTATTTTTAATATGTCGAGGAACAGATTACATTGAACGTAAGGGGAATTATCGCGATCATGGTCAGTTCATAGCCGACTCTGACCCCCCGAACCCGATGGACGTACCCCTGTTCCCAGCCCCGCCGACCGCCCTCGGTGCCGTAACGTCGACATCGGCGGTCAGCGTCAGTGACGCGATAGACCTCGCGAAACTGACACCTGTTTCATTATCCACGATCGCGTGTAATCGTGAAGGGAAGAATGTCCGAGCGAGAACCGGTCGTCCGTCGCAGAGGGTGCGGCGATGCTCTATACGGAAGAACCTAGTGTACCCGAAATTTAAGGGTACCGGGAGAACCCACCGGGTTCCTCAGAGCCGCCGTCGGATCACAGAACTTCGTATAAGAATGACGGAACAGCCGAGAAACGAGAGCGACGATGACGAAGACGTCGTCTATGCGATCGGTACATCTTTCATTTTATAGAGTACCTAAAAAAAAAAATTATAGACAACATATTTTCCACGCGTGTTTGAAAAATAATATCTTTTCTTATGAGTCTGATGACAACCTACGTGTCTATTTCCCGGTTAATTAATAATAACGCATTAAGAATGAAATCGATAAAGTGCAAAGGAAAACTATAAGGCGATATAAGAGAGAATGTATAATGTAATGTAAAACTATAGATAAAGCTGTATGGAAACAAACTTTTTCAAGTAATGTAATCAGTTGACGAATATCGAACCGGAATGAAAATGCCGTTTCATTTAAGAACAAGAATTACTATCTGACTAATTCTTTTTCAGACACGCCTACGACAGTCTCGGAAGATATTTCGCCGGACTACAAACCGACGGTGATCAATTTCAACGAAAAGGCAACGAGATCCGTGACGGTGCAAACGACAGTCGGTTTGCCATTACGATTAAGGGTGTTCCCGTCCATCAAAGACATCGTGGAAGAAGATGACGTTAAATCGAAGAACACAAGAGGCCTCTCGAGGGTGTGGAGGCATATCAGGTTCCTAGGAAGACTGTCTCTTTCTATGTTTGGTAAATCAAGTTTCTAAATATCGTTTGGATAAAATTTAGGCAGCGTTAATAGAGAATATCTAATTTTAAAGGATTGCTATGGCTGTTATGCGTTTGGGCGATCGTCGGTGCTGTCGCGTTTTGCGCAACGGAGGGGCCGAGAGAACGTGAACAGGTCGTTCGTTTGAAAACTGCGCAGAAGGAATTGGCCGTCGGTTTGGCCACGGATCTGCGACAACTGCGTACGGAGAAATTAGAGGATGTGGAACCCATCTGGAGCGACAAGGTGGTACAATACCTTTTAGACCATGAAGAAATGCTGCTGATGGCAGTTAACGCAGGATATGGAGAAAGTGGGCACAGTGGACAGCTCTGGACGTTTCCTGGTTGCGTCCTCTTCGCCCTCTCGCTGCTGACCACCCTCGGTAATATAAAAATCGCTCGTGGTCAGAGGATAGAAATGACCCTGCCGTTTTCATAGGCTTTGGTGCACCGGTTCCGAGAACGACAGCTGGCCGAACGGTTACAGTTATTTTCGCCGCGATAGGTATCCCCGCGCATTTTCTTTTGATCATGAATCTGGGCCTCTTGCTGGCGCTACGCTTGCAGAGGTACGCCATATCGAAGAAGTTCGCCAATTATGATCCGACGGATCCTAAGTGTTTAGCGCCGGTACCGAAGTGGGTCAAGATCGTACCGTTTGTTTGCGGAGGTACTTAAGCCACGCTAACGATTTTAATACAAAAACGAAAGTTTTTCAGTCTTACGAGGATGAATGTTAGTAAATTAATTATTTTTAATTACAGTCAGTTACTATCTGCTGGGCGTGGTCTGTTTCGGCGTAGCCAGATCCAGACCGTTCGCGGCGAGCATTCTGTTTCCTCTGGACTTCACGGCAGCCGGCGGTCTCTCGACGATAGTCGGCCACGTTCGAATATTATACGGCCTTTACTTGGAAGGCGCCGTTGCCATTGCGGCGATCGCGGTCGCCGTTTTGCGAGTATCCGCGACTCAAGGTTTAACTCACATCGGTCTCAAATACGGGTTACTCATCGAGGCTTGAAATTTTACGACGTACTTCTAAATTCAAGATCAAACTAAAAATGTGTATGTTAAAAAGAACTTTATTTATCTACTAAACGTGTCAACCGTTGACGCGAACAGATATTGCGGTTGAAGCACGTCATTGGGGGAGAGGCTATCTCGTGCAGAAGATGTCGAATCAACTCAATATATACAGTTTCTCTGAACTATTCTCAAGTAACATACAGCTGAGACGTGCCTCCGGAACTTTTCGAAAAAGCTATTGTACATAAAGTTGACTACTTTTATATGTCGCCGTTGATAAGATAGGATACACCTGTTTATCCTTAATTTAGCACTATTATCATGCGTTATCAATTTAATCGCTTAACGTATTGGTATGGTACATGTACAAACGACAATTTTTAACAATAAAAAGAGCAAGCTATATTCAAATACGAGTACAATATTATTACCCCGTAATCGGATCCCTATTTGGAGAGTGAACAAAAATAAAAATGGCATGTACCCAAACTTTCGGGCGGTAGTGTGTATCTGTACTTTATTATCGTCCTAGTAAGACGTTGCAAAATGACTAAATTCCTGTCCTCGAAAGAAAATAAGATTTGAACAACATTTAAGACACTTCCCGCCTCCTCATAGTTGCCTCGTTTCTCGTATCACTGGTTTTCCTGTGGGCCTGCCTACCCTGGGGTTTGTCGCCCGGGCCTTCAGGCTCCGAAGAATCATCTTCTATGTTCGAGACGCTCTTATCGCCCAGCGCTATCCGTATAGATTCCACTAGATTCAAAGGACCGGCATGACTTTGTTTCGTTCCTGTAAATAGTAAATTTTGTAGGTAGAGTAGAATCCGAGCCTCCTTAGAGATCTAACGATCTAATATTATGACTTTAGACATCGTTCGCTTTCTTCTGAAGAAACAGGAGGAGGAGGAGGAGGAGGAGGAGAAGGAGGAGGTTTCTTCTTTTTTCACTCACCGACTTCCCGATTTTATCCAAATATAGCTTTCTTGATTTTATTAAGGAGACCTTCGTTTTCGTCTATTGGATCTCTCTGCTCATTCTGTCTCGCTTGAGTTTTTACCCTTGGACCTGCCGAAAAGAGGACAATATACGTGTTCGCATAATCTAAATTTTAATTTCATATGTAAAAGTGAAAAGAAAAAAAAGATGAAGTTAAATCCATTGAGAATCTTCGTTCAACGAAACGTACGATACTTTATTAATAATAACAATAGTAATAAACACTAATGAAACGCACATGTAAATTTATCACATCGTTTTATTGAAATTAGCAAAGGGCAGGTACACAAAGAGGAAACTCAAGCGACACACAAGTCTAAATCTTCAAATTCTGATCCGTAAAAAAATGATACTACGTGTAATGTACACCGGTGTGAGCAGTTCGTTTGTTTAAAAAAATTTCCGCCCGATTGATTAAATTCGCGTGTCCGTTAATTTTAGTGGCAATTCGTTATTTTTAATCACGATCACGATTTATCGCGTTTATTCTTACCGTCTGTCTTATAAGTAATGCCATGTATACTCCCGGGCGTGTCTTCTTCGAGTTCGGCGTACGCGTGTATCAACGCTAACTGTTTATCGTTCAATTTCGTCGGCACGACAATCTTTATCTGCACGTAATGATCGCCGTAGCCTGTCCCGTTCACTTTCTTCATCCCTTTGTTGGTCAATCGAATTTTCGTATGAGACGATGTACCCGGTCGGATTTGTACCGTGTGGTCTTCATACACGCCCTCGATTCTTATCGTACCACCGAGTACGGCTTGCGACAAAGATATCTGGGCATCCGTATGTAAGTCCGGACCGTCCCTACGGAAGTACTTTGACTTTTCCACGCGGAATGTTATGAACACTTCTTTGCTCCCAACGGCCATGCGTATCGTTTGACCATCTTCGACGCCGGCTGGCACCGGGACCGTCACCTTCTTACGTTGTATCTATGTCCAAACATTTTGGAGAAGAAATCAATAGAAAATTTATTGGTCAACCGTTTGACAGAGATAATTTACACGCAGCGTTCTGAAACAGAGTCTACGATTAAGTATCTAGCAATTAAATCGATCTATTCTCGCCTTGGAATTATTACTGATTTTGTAGAAGCAGTTTACAGAACAGTTGGTGTGATTAAATACAAGAAGTTTGTTGATACCGATTGCCCTTTTCCTTCGCACTCGTTGCACGGAAATTTAATAAACATTCGGGTACCGTGACAGTAACGGCAAGTGGACCGCATGACGAAGGGTCCGGTGCTAATCGTTTCCATCCCGGTTCCGTTACAATATTGACATCTCACTGACTTCGTTCCCGGCTCGCATCGCGAGCCCATACACTTCGGGCACGTGTCCACAACGTTCAATTGTACCTCCTTGTTAACACCCCTAGCAGCTTGAGAAAAAGTTAAATTCATAATGACCTGAAAACAGATAAGAGTTCTGAAACTCGTTAATTTGTAAAATATCACTATTCAAAAAAAATTCCACCTCTCTTCATTTCAAACAGAGTATAGTCTATACATTTTTCAATTGTGTCACAAACATACCTCTTGCGCTGCTCCGAACCCATACTTATTGTCTGTAAATTCTTCGAAGTCGTTAAAAACGTTGCTCTGGAACCCTGCGTCACCAAATATCTTCCTGAACAGCTCCTCCGGATTGACAGATGATCTAAATTGCCAACTTTGGCCGAAATCTTTGGCATGACCACTAGAATGTCCGCCTCCTCCCATTCCCATTTGCTCCGACGTGGCACCCCATGTATCATATTCCTTCCTCTTCCCTTCATCGCTCAACACTTCGTAAGCCTCTGATACCTCTTGAAACTTCTTCCCAGCTTCAGGGTCGCTCTTGTTTGTGTCTGGATGATACTTTTTCGCAAGTTGATAATAAGCCTTCTTGATGTCCTTCGCTGATGCGTTTTTCGATACACCCAGTATTTCGTAGTAATTACGTTTCAGCAGTTTTCTGGTTGTGTGGATGCCTCTTTGGATTCGCGTTATATTGCTTATATTGTCTGTGATCGTATAGAATATATTATAAGATTTAGTTAACTATAACAATCAATCAGGAATGAGGAGAGAAAAGATTGACAATGATTAAAATTGATGTAAGATTCGTTCGCAAAACAGATTTGTTTATGTAAAGATCTTTAACAAATATTCGGTAACACAGTATTAGTACAAAGTTGGCTCGCGTTTAAAATGAATATTAGTTTACTTAAAACATAATTCAGCATCATGAATTAGAGATACAAACAACACGGTTATTGGATAGGAAAGCATGTGTCGCAAAACGTGGCTAAGCATTACGTGCCTTCATAGCTCCCCATCAAAACTCACTGACAAAATGAAATACGATAACAGCATACATTTAATATTTGCCTAAAGTGTAGATAAGTCTCAGATATGTTAAGAAACGGTCGAATAAATCGTATGTTATTAAAAAAGTGTGTAATGATGTAATGTTCTTCATGCTCCTCGGGTGTGTACGTTACATTTTTCCGTTTTCCTGAAGTTTCGGTCGCCGACATCGAGTAACGTAGCGAACGGACGATGGCACGTGCCGCACCTTTGCACCACGCCGCATGACAATTTACTTATTTTACTATTGTTGATTAAATTGATAGTTCTCGGACGTAGAACGATCGCGAATCCTTTGCCGGTCGCCATGTTTCGTAAAAGGCGCATGGCCGCGGCACAGTATATTACAAGAATAAAGCAGATATTATATGCCTTGGTGGAAAACCGAGTCGCGTCCAATCTATAACATATATTATCTACGATCAAGTTAGTTATGTGATGGGAACAAGAGTGCTGCTCCAATATGTCTACCTCGCGGGAGAAGATTCTGTTCATTTGATAATACATTTGGATATTCCCTTTGCATATACGGAATGTGTTAACGACCAAATGAAAGTTCCTTTATCAAATTTACCTATCTGAATGCGAATTATATTCGTATGTAATCGTGATTCGTAATGTAAGATGAGCTTTTCCGTGAAAAAAACAGGTGGTAGGATGTGGCATGAGGCGCGTAAACAGGAAAAGAAAATCCGTGGGATGCTGGTCGATTATCGTCGCCGTGCTGAACGTCGACGCGATTATTATGAAAAAATTGTAAGAAACATATTTGGCTAAAAATATCATAATCGGAACTGAAAGCAAGCTTAACGTCATCCGCCTTCTTTCGACGAAGAGCATTTAACTTAGTTTCACTTATTAACCTTACAGTGGCTGATTTATTAATAAAATAGAGCTATAAATTAAGCAAATTGTGCAATAAGTCTAATTAGAGCTATGTTACATTATTCCATTTATAGTATAGTTACTTAGACAATACACAAAGTTCTATATGTACGAATCAAATAAATATAGTATGTTCTAGATAATTCATTACACTTCTACTATTTATTTTGTTTCAGAAATCAGATCCCACACAGTTCTTACAACTCCATGGGAGACCTTGTAAAATCCATTTGGACCCAGCAATTGCTACTGCTGGAGATAGTCCTGCCAACATGTAAGCTCACACCTATTATCATTATCCTACCTACAAAGAATTAGATCAACCATTAACACTTTAACGACCGCACGTCTACGTAATCAACATCGCCAGGGGCCGGCAGTATTTTTGAAGAATTAATTCGGCGTCAGCATCACACACATGTGTGAGCGGTCGGTAACGGTTGTTCCGGCTATCAAACACATGTTGTGTGAGCGGTCGTTAAAGTGTTAAGATTCCTTAATTGAATATTAAAAATCTTTGTACAGGATGCCATGGCAGGGAAATGAGGACAATCTAATTGACCGTTTTGACGTAAGAGCTCATCTTGATTGGATACCAGAGGCACCAGACACTATCGACGTCGATATTGCTTTGACAAGCGAAGACAGACATATCAATTATGAACGTTATCGCATAATCGTTCAGAATGAATTTTTGGGAGGTGAGATGACTGTCCAGCGTTTTCATAGTTAAAATGATGATTGCATTTGTCTTAAGTTATTCATTTTCAATCTAGTAACCGAAGAGAAGTTTTTACATCAAATACACTTGGAAGAACAGTTTGGTTCGTCGACAAAGTTAGACGCTGCAAGAGATAAAAAGAAGTCGAGTAATAATGTTGCTATCGGATATAATTATGAAACGGAGGAACCGATGCCCGAAACGATGAAGTCGTTAGATAATGTTGGACCCGACGATAAAGACGACGAGGACAGCGATATTGATTTAGGTATGCTTTACACTTGAAAACTGCTGAGTAAAATTTGTCGGAAATGCGCAAATGAGAAATTATGAAATCTCTCGGTGTTTGTAGACATTTGTGTGGACGTATCCCAAATAGAACCGTCTCAGGCGCACGAAATGAACTTGGTGGCACAAAAATATGGTCTTTTAGGTGCTGATTATTTTAGTTTTTTAACACAAGACTTTGAAGAAGCTGAAACGTTGAGACAAGCTCGTAAACAGGAAGAGGAGAAAGCGATGTACTCGGTAACGATACATTTTTTGTACACTGTACTTATGAAGGGATTTGATTCCAATACATTTAAAATGTATAACATCCTTATTAATGAGGGAGGAAGAGCTATAAATTAATTAAATAATTCACAATTATCGTATTTAATGGATTACCACATTACAGGGTAGACGATCGCGTAGAGAAAGACGTGCGTTTAGAGAAAAAAAAATGATCGGTCGGGTTATGAGTCCACCTAGGTAGTTATTTTTATACTGAGAAACAAGATTATTGTTTATGTTATGTTGTCTATCAATTAGTTAATTTGACTAATAAATTTGTTCAGCTGTCGATCGTGGATTTCTATCCGTCAGAATACGTGATACAATGAAATTTATAAAATGGAAACTATCATAATCTATTATATTGAAATGGATAAAAATCCACTATCCATTTATTAGTCAAATATTTAATTAAATAGACAATCGTCTAAATATATTTATAGCGTTTATTATATATTTGATTTAGTTACGCAGCGAGGGAAAGTCCTGAGTACAATCCTTATAGAAAATCATCCTCGAAATCTCGTTCGAGGTCGATATCACCTGTTAACGCCGGTCAAATAACGTATATCACGAGTTTCGGCGGTGAAGAAGAGACTCATGGAAGTTCCTCTCATGTTGCCTCTTCCAATTCGAGGAAAATGAATTACTCTCATCTCAGGCGACGGAGATCGGACAGTCCTACCATCAATGAGCGAACGGTCAACAGAAAATTGTCGAAATCGAGATCCAGAAGTTGTTCAAGATCGGTTAACAAATCGAAACTGTATAGAAACCGAGATAGGAAACGTAGCACTTCAAAAATCAGGTTAAATGAAATGCCTATCAACGTTCTATCCGATACTTTATGAAATCAGCGATACCAAATAAATTAAATTCTTACTATTATGAAGTTCGATATAATACATTTTTGACTATTATAATTAGAACAGGGCTATTGTTTGATTTTATAGATCGAGACGAACACATTCGAGGCACAGAAAGATCAATAGATCCAGGAGCAGGAGTCGTTCGAGGAGAAGATCGCGTAGCGAATCGAGATCGCGCTACAGGAGTTACACCAGATCCCGTTCTCGTACCACATCGAGATCTAGATCCAGATCGCGAATCAAACGATCTAGAAGCTCGTCGACGAGCAGCGTCTCGAGATCTAAATCGCGGTCCAGATCGAGGTCTAGATCTAAATCGCGCAATCGAAGCCGTTCGAGGGACAGTTATCGTCGTAGGCATTACAGTCCATCGAAATCGTCATCTAAATCGCGGAGTAAGTCGCAGACTAGATCGCGATCGAGGTCGAGATCTAACCAGTCCAGGTGTAAAAGATCGCGAAGCGTTGAAAATAAACCGCCAGCACTGCCAAGGTAATTGTGAGAGTGCAGCGCTAATTAACATTCTTTTATTGTTATTAACTGTCATTCGTTTGTGATCACAGATATTACGGTCGACGCGGAAAATCATCGAGTCTGGAGCTGGAATTGTCAGATAACGAAGAAAAAGCCTCTACGGCAACACCGAAACAGACGGTTACTAATACCACGAGCATGTGAGTCAATGGTTACCAGTATATAACAGGAATTAGTTATATAGATGTTATACTTATTCTTTGATCTCGCGTGACATCTGTTTCAGGAACAAGCCAAAGGCAGGGTTAAGTACAAATTCTGGTGGCGGACACAAAGTCAGTAAGAACCATAACGCTTACTTAGTCACTTAAAAAGCACTGAGAATAAGAAAGACAGTATAATAATGCTATTTATTAACCCTTTACGGCAATGTACACTTCAACACGTACTACTTAACATTTAGATACTTATTTTCATTCTTTTGACCAGTGTAATAAGAGAACTGCGAATTTTTATGCATACTTAGAAGAATTTTAATTTTAAAAAGAAATATAGAATGCAAGTAATAAAAAATTTATACATGGTTCTTGCTTAAATATTCGCAGTTAAGTAACATGAATATTTTGGATATGCAGAGTATTCAAAAAGATCGGAGTGGATAAAAAAGTTAGGCAGATAAAAGTTCATATGCACTTTTTTATTTACTCGAGCTTGTTATATTTTTTGCTTTAAGTATATTCATAAATAAATAAATAAAGTTTCGATAACTGTGGTAACAGAATTTTAAGAGTTACATTTTTCAGTCACTGAAGATCACGCCCCAAGAGCGGCTTAAGAAGAAGATGCAAGCTCTGCTGAACAGACAATGTAAGTGAATTTAAAAAACAGAACTGAAATGGAGTTTTATAGGATAGAGTATTCATCTTTATGTTCGTATCCTGTAGACAAAGCTGACAAGAAGGCTGAACAACTTCGAATAGAAAAGATGGAACAGCAGAGGCAAGATAGAGAAGACGAAATTCGAGAAATGTCCTTAAAGTTACGTAGAAAGTACGTTGTCACTTGTTCCTTAATGTTCATTAAATTGGAATTGATCAGCAACTGAATCGTTATCCTACTAACTTTACGTTCGTTCTTCAGGCAAAGGGAACGCAGACACCGTTATGAGGGACACAGCTCAGAGTCGCATTCCTCGGTCTCTCGTACTCCGAGCCCAGGCAATCGTAGTCCCAGAATCAGTCGCAGAGATAGGAAAGAAAGGGATTTCGACAACCCTGACCGCGAACGCGATAGAGATAACAGGGAACGAGAAAGGGGACGAGGCGAAGATCGTAATGAAAAATTTCGAACGGAATCCAATCGGAGAAGATACAGGGATTCACCACTGCGTTCTTTGAGTCCACGTAATAGCCGGTAATCAGCGGAAACGAAGCCATTAAATTAAGTGGATACATCGAATACTTTGGGATTAACGAAATGTATTAATTCGTTTTCCAGAGGCCTAGTCGATTATTGACAACGGTTTATCTTCCGCAAGGACTCTTATTAAGAAATTTTATTATTTAAATAGACACTTCCTATATATGAAATTGCATTCCTTCCGTAAAATGCAACAAATAAAATGCTCTTAGAATGCGATAAAGAAAAGATGTTATATATATATAAAGTGTACGAATATATAAGTTACGATTATAATTACAATTAAGATTTGTTTAATTTTACGTGATAAAAAAATAAATACAGTTGTTTCTTTAAGTCTGTTTTATTCTAGTCAGTATATCACCGTGTCACTTTCATTTATGGAAACTTGCTCATTGTATTCGTCAGTAAATGAAATTCGAAGCTTAGTTAGTTCAACTGATGCCAAGTAGATCGACAATAGTTTTAGATACCTGATGATCGAGAAGGTAAAAATAAAACGTCAACAATGAAAACCGATCGTTCCTCTATTGTCAGGGGTCATTTTTTCAAATAGCGCAAAGTAAAAAGACTTTCCTTTCTTATAATGTTCGGTTATTTAGAAGCAATTTTACAATATACGCAACGCATATTGAAGGACGTAAAAATTTAGCTTTAGGAGCTAGAAATTATGCGACACGCATCATTTCCGCAAAAATCCAGTGCAGGTGAGAGTCTAAACAAACGAAACAGGACGTAGTACAATAATACGTACACGCGTATACGTAACTCGCACGCAGCACGGCGAACAGTAAGTATTATAGTTTTATATTTATCTAAATCCAGAAATTGAAAGAATTAATAAAACGAAAGCTGCAATTTGCATATCCTTCGTGCACTATAAATCTTAAAACCGCACACACTTTAACTGAATGTAATTTAAACAGTAACAACTGATGCTTACTACGTTGTTGTCACAAGTTTATGAAACTGTTTTTATCAATGAATTTGAATCGAAATCTAACAAGCATCAAGATAAACTGTTTGATGGTTTATTGTAGGTGCGATACGAGATGCAAATAAAATAAATATCGAGGCGTGTCACATTGAATTCAAGTCGAAATTGTTGAAATTCTAATCTTAAAAACAGAGGGTTATGTTGATGAATGAACGTCTCGACAACATTTTATAACTGATAAGAATGTTCAGTGTTATTATTAAATAGAACAAGATATGACCAAGGTGTCCTGACGCACGGAACGTATTTTAATTGTTACAAAGTGAATTTTACTGATATGATAATTAACACATGATAAAATAAAAAGGGGCTGTTACTGAGCAAGTTTCCATAAATGACTTGAATTGTTCTATGTTGCGTGAGCTTGGGCAGTGTACATGATGGATAAAGTACCGAAGTATTATTGTAATATATGCGTAAGAGATTTTCAAGATGAATATGCCCTTCAGGGTCACCTAACAGGCAAGAAACACCAGCTGGCAGTAAAATGTCAAACGAACGATGGCTACATTGCAATTTCACCGCTACCAGAATTCATACCCCCTCGAAAGTTGATAGAGTTCCTTTCTCACAAATATGGCTCGATAAAAACACATAAAATTGGACCCAATTACGTTCTAATCCAATTCACGAATAGGTAAGCCTTGTATCTTTCATTCTTTTATCAATTAATTCAAATCATTGTCATTAATAAAATGTTGTAGGCACGTTGTAGCACAACTGCTGAACAAGCCAGTTTTGATAGGCGATGTAAAGTTAAATATAACGAAACGTAAGAAAAATTAATCCCTTGTTCTGTTTTTAAAAGACGAATACATTCTTCTCGAGGATTCAAACAAAGTAAATGTTCTCACTTCCAGGTTTGGGCAAACTAAAAGTAAGTAAATCAAGCAATCCTACAGAGGACAAAGGTATAATATGTTACAACAATATAAAACAAATATTCGAGGATGAGACCACGTTCGATGTACAATTGCTCCAGTTTTTGAACATGATACGACTGACTGACATGGAAATGGAAATAAGATACGGGCCCATTTGCTCTCATCTCGATAAAATATTCAGAACAAAATACCCGAAGTGCAAGACTTATCCGTTCGGTTCGATCGTGACGGAGCTGGCTTTTAAGCAATGCGATTTGGATATGTACATGTACATAGGTAAGAGTACGAATGGTTTACGTAATTACACGATTTAGACTTCCATCTCCATGACTGTTGTATCGATTCAAGGTCAACCAATAAATGATGTGAAGGTCCAGGGAAGCGGGGAGTATACGATTACGACGGTACTGAAGGATGTAAAAAAAATAATGTACCGAACAGGGACGATATTTTCCAACATCATATCGCTACCGAAAGCGAAAATACCTATTATAAAGTTTTGTTATCTACCTACGAACGTGCTTTGCGATCTATCATTCAAGAACAGTCTGGGCATATATAAAAGCTACTTGGTCAGGTATTTGATCTCTCTGGACAATAGACTGAAACCTTTGATGATGTTGATCAAGTACTGGGCTCGCCATTTCAAGTTGGCATCCGGTTCATCGAAGATATCTAATTATGGTTTGGTCTTATTGATAATCTTCTACCTTCAACAACCGCACGTTGGCATCATTCCGCCGTTGAACATCCTCCAGCCAAATACATGGCAGCCGTCAATAATAGACGGTTGGCAAGTAAACTTCAACACGAACGTAGCTTTACCGCCGATAACAAATACGAGTACGGTCCCGGAACTCCTCCATGGTTTCTTCTCGTTCTATGCTAAATTTTGGTTCAGATCGCGGGTGATCTGTCCGATCGACGGAAAGATCTACGGGGAATCATCGTTTACGGGGCCGGAGGTAGACAATTTACCGGCTTACATGGACAGGTACAAAGCTTGCGTCAGAGAGGATCCGAACTCGAAATTGCCCACTAACACTCCGATGTGCGTCCAAGATCCGATCGAACTGAATCACAATGCCGTGGCGGTAACGATTCACTCCACATTGATGTTGTTTACGAAATATTGCGAGATAGGCGTCGAAATTTGTGCGATGTCCAGCGCGAACAATTACACGGATCTGTTGAAAACTCTTTTCACAACAGTTTGTAAAGAAGGAAAAGGAAAAGAAATCAAATTCGATGTATCAGTCACGCGCTCGCAAATTAACAAAGACGAGGCGCAGAAATCAGAGACTAATAGGATAGAAGAAACAAATACACTGGACGAATGGTTTCATATGATCGTTAACATAGTTAAGGAAATCTTTGAAAAGGTTTTCTTGGTACGAATGGAGCTGGTACCGAACGATACAGAAAACGGGGAACAGAGGAAACGAGAGACTGTTTTCCTCTGCACCAGCTCGCAATGTGTATGGCGTTTCAGGAAAACTAATACCGCCACAGATCCGAGCTTAAGTTGCATTGAAAGAGAGGCACTCATTTCCGAGATGACCGTAAAGAATAGTATAAAGAGTGATTTAGATTTTGCGTGTATTTTGGAGAAAAATAGTCCCTCGAAAGTTATTATAACGGTGACGAATTGGCATGGCCCGGAACAGACGTTTCGTGACTTCTCCGCATTCGCCAGACCGGTGTTAATCAAATTAATTCAAGAAGCAATCAAGTTTGTAGTTATGCAGAAGTCTGGGGAAGGTGTCGATTTTCCTTACACCGTTTCGGTATGTTAAGCTGATCGTAACACATGGAAAAGGACGTGTGACCGCGGAATTAACTTTGATCATGCTTTTGCGTAAGTTTTAAAAATTGTGATATTCAGAAAACGACTAGGAGAAACTTATATTTCATCACACAGCAGCTTGTAATTAGTAGTTCATGAATCATACTTGCAGACGGTGTACTGCACAATTAATATTGTCGGATGAAACGTTTATTTAACAAACGTTACGTACAAATATTATTTTCATTCACAATTTACGTACACTTGAAATTACAACCTGTTACTCTACCTGTGCAAAGAGTATTTCACGTAGTAAGATAGTATTTCATAATCATTAAGTCCAATTTAGTTTGTATATCTACAACTTTACCATAATCGTGTCTAAAAGACTCGAAGGGACTTACTTTTGTTTTTTAAGGGAACGAACTCAATTTTAGTTTGACTATTTCTTTTAAAAATACTTCTGACTTGATATACAATAAATTGGCATGATTATTTTTATATGGAAGATAAAATACATTTGTAACAACAGAAGAATTAAAGTTCTTTGTTTATTTTTATGACGAACCCCCGTTATAAAATGGCTTTTCAACTAAATTAAATCAGGTTTTTGCCTTTTCGCATATTTATATACGAGGTACCTCATACCCGTATCTAAAAACAATAAAAAAATCTTCATATTAAAAAAGAAACAGAAAAATTAGATGAACAAATGCCTGATCTAATATTGTCTTAGAAGTAACTTAAAATTTATTATTGTTCAGTATCTAATATTAAAATAACTACCTATATCGAATAATACATTCTTTTTGAAAATCGTTTGAATAAACATAGAAGTCTAACATGTATCGCCTTTATTGAAATAATAAACTGATATTTATATCATACAACCCATAAGAGAGTTACTCCGAATACTTCTTAAACAAGCTTAAAATATGGCAAATAATATTTATACGAAGGTTTTTTGTTTGTTTTCAAGTGGTGGTCGACATACCCTGTATGCGAATATGGAGACAAGTTTTCAATTTAGTACATGTAAAATATTCTTTTACATGCTCTTACTCTTTTATGCAGGATCCACGCTATTTGTAGCGGGAGCGATTTTCATCGCTGAGGTAACAAAACCAGTGAACTGTAATATTACAGAGTACAGGTAAAGGGTGTAAAAAGCACGAGGCCACGGACCTTGACGACCTACAAGAAAATCGCTATTTACGAATTCCTTGAATTTCGGTCGGAAAGGCGACGGAAGGGTACTGGAAATCCTCGAAGCAAGCAGTGTGTCTGCAGATTCGGCACCGATTCGAGGTCGCCTTTGACATAGACCTCTGAGGCCTCCTGCGTTTACACGCTTTTGCCTGTACTCTATCGTAAAGACTATAGCACCGATTTTGCTGCTTTGCGATGCATCAGTCATGCACGCGAAGCCGTACATAGCCGAAGCAATACACCTGTACACGAGATAGACATTTTAGAACTTGCCGCGGAATCCACGTCCACGATAGGGTCTACCGCCGGAGTGCTTGCCTCTATACACGTGTGGTTTTACCAATGGGCTAGACCTGCCCCTGGACATTTTCCCTCGCGAGTGCCACTCCGTTCCACCTCTCTGGAATGTGTGCTCCAGTTCCAGCTCTTCCGCGGAGGTGTCCAACATCATCGGGCTCTCACCGCGGCTGTGTTCACTCCTGCTGTCGTGAAAGTCGTCCCGTTCGTCCAACGAGTGTCTGTAACCAGGCGAGTATCTGTCGCGATAATGTTCCCTCGATTCCTTATGACCAGAATAACTGTCCCTGCTCCTTATCGGCGAATCAATACTTCTTGAACCGCGATCCGCGGATTCTAGTCGATGCTCACGCTCGTCGTTTCTCCTGTGCGGCGATGTGTTCCTGTTCCAGTTCCTCTTCTGCGAGGAGTTCAGGGAATACCTCAGATCTTCAACCTGACGAAACTTGGATGAATAATCGACGGTCTCGCGAACGTTCCAGTCCAGACGATCCATTATCGGTCGTTTTTCTTCTTTGGCCGCTTGCTGTAAGTCCTGTGGGTAGACCTGCATCTCGAAATCCTCCATGGTAACGGTAGCTTGTACCAGTTTTGTGCTCGTCTCCGTTTCGTCCGTCTGACAGATCTTCTGATGTGTCTGAACGTTCAATTTCACGAAGGGAGTAGTGTTCTCTTCCTCTTCTTCCCAAAGTACCTTGCTCGTGTTCTTCTGTAAGAGGATGGAGTTGGACGCGAACAAATCCTGTTCGATCTTCACGTTCTGCAACCTTGGCTCATAGAAGAACCGTCCCTTCATTTTTAATCGAGGATCTTCCAATGGTAGCTCGCGTAATGCGTGAGAGCAGTGACGCAGTATTTCAGGTTTGAATCCTATTAGAAGAGAAGGTTTACAAGTGAAATTAATGGTAAGTAGTTCAATTCACTTTTCTATTTCTTTTAACAGGCTGAGTATTACTATTTAAAAACACACTGTCATGGATGCTGAGAAAAACTCGTCGCATTTATTAATTACTTTCACTATTTCACTTTGAGATATGTTTAAACTTTTTAGCGTATCCGTGTCGAAGATCGACACATCCTTACCTGGATACAAAACCGGTAGATTAGTTGAATCTAAAAAGAAAAATTTATAAATAATGAGACATACGAAGCCATCGATCTCGTTTATCTAGCATAGCTTAAAAGAAAATGAAAAGGTTACGAAATATCGTAATTTATTCGCACCTTTAGCGGAAACGGACGCTTCCAGCAGACTCGATAAGCTCGTTTTTTCAAACTGCTGTAAAATATAATTCAAAAGAGAATTATCTCAACAGAGTTGTCAAAAATACGTATGAAGTATCGTTTTTTGATAATAAAAAATAGTGATCGGTGTTCAATACATGATTGCTTTCTAAACATTCACTCTATGCCTTCTCATGATCATCTTTATTCCGTATACAGTTCCGATCACTATTTAAATCCAGAAAAAGCGATACACAAATGCGGAGTAAAGAGCATGATAGTGGAACAAGTAACGTTTTATTATTAAAACGTGTGACAGGATTTACTTTGGTGTCGGAGATGACTGGTGGTTCGGGCGTTTTCAACCGTTCCTCGCGGGAACCATGGTATCCGTTGTAGGAGTCCGCGTATCGACTGCGTTCCCTGTATCCCGAACTTCCTGCACCGATGGAGTCCTTCTTGATGGAGAAATCGAAACTCTGTATGGGTGATTGACGCGAAGTAGCCGGATAAGGTTGCACATGGTCCACTACCGTCGAAGGAGGCTGCTCGTGTTGCTGCGGTGATGTAGGGTCTGGTGTTTGAAGCAGAGGCTGACGGTGTCCCGGCTGATTTCCTTGATTATACATCACCGGGCCGGAGACGTATTCCGTTTGAGGCAAGGGATGGGACATCGGTACCGGATCGAAATTCATCGTCGGCGGGACGTTTTCGAAATTGATGAAGGGTGCTGGAGCGGGCGGGGGAACGACACTTGGTGGCATCGGCGGTGGCGGCAATCCTGTTTGATGGATGTAAGGCATCGATTGCATTAGTGGCCTCGGTTCCGCTTCTTTGTACACGTTGTTCATCAAAGGAGCAATATTGTCCACAGAGTATCCAGTGGTGTTTGCATGTTGCGCAATGGCTTCGCTCCTCAGTTGTCTAGTGAGCTCGTTGATGAAGGGCGAACGTTTCCGTCGACGTTCCACTGATCTGCTCCGTGTCCGACTTCGCCGACGTGGGCTGTACCGTCTGATAGGCGAACGACTTGATTTTCTTCGGAGTCGTTCCATGCTTCGGCTTCGGCTTCGCTGGCGTTCACGCGACCGGCTTCTTCTGTTTCTTGACAATTTTTAAATTATAAATTCGATGTTAAAACACGTTCTTGCATCGGTCACTTGTGGTAAACATTAAAATATAGTTATAATTTAATTTATTAACAGGGACGAATTTTATCAGCTAATCTTTCAATTTTTAATTAAAACCCACTATCAATCGTCCCTGTCCTATTACTAAATTAAGGCCTACGTTATTAATCCTTAGATAACGAATAACGAACGGTTATTCGTTCATAATTGACTGTATACTAGTAAAATTAATTATAAAAAGAGACGATCTCTTTCAAGCTTGCCGAGTTGGAAGTTGTTGTTAAGAATATCCTCTCACCGTTCGTGTACGTTCGCGCGTCTTCTGTGGCGTTCTGAACTCCACCTTCTATCAGAACTTGTTCTTCGTTCCCAGCTAGGTCTTCTCATAGGACTTCTTCGTCGATCGGGACTGAATCCGAACGGACTCCTCCGAGCATTAAATCTTGGGCTTCTCCTTTTCTCAGGACTAAATCTGCCGGGACTTCTGTGTCTCTCGGTAAAAGGACTTCTGCCGCGTTCGGGTGTCAATAATAACGGCGATTTCCTTCGAGGTGAATTCAAGCGTACCCTATCCGGACTTCTACGTCGGACAGGACTTCCACGCGGACGATCCAAGCTTTTGCGTACTCGGATTTTGTATCGAGTGTGCATTTGCGCCTGCTGCTCCATGTTCTGTCTCTCGGCGATGCTTTGTATTGCTTCAGTTTCCGTACCTGGCGGCACAACATTATCCGAATCCAGTAGATGTTTGATGGCTTTCTCCTTCTCCGCCAAAAGTTTGCTCTCGTTGTCCCTTTTAGTCCTTATCTTGTCCCTCTCGATGTCTTTCGTGCTCTTCAATGGATCTCGACGGATCTCTTCGTATTTTCTTTCTTCTCTTTTCGACCGTTCGCGGCTGTGCGATCCTTTGCGTTCCCGACGATGTCTTTCCCTATAATTAGCCTTATTTATTTCTTCTAATATCATAGGATAACAAGAACTTCAATCTATGTATGCATAGATTGTTTCACACAGAAAACAATACTAGATAAGAAAATTTGGAGACAATCTGTAAATTATATTAATTTAGAAAATAAAAACGGTGCTTCTAAAACCTTGAATTTACCGTTACACTCCATAACAGTATATTTTATCTTATTGATGTACAAAGAATTTTAATCTGATTCTAAACACGTAACACGAGGTATAATAACTATACAAATTTTACTAATGCGTATTTGCTCCTATCGATGCTACCTAGAAGGACGTTTGTGTTCTTGATCTCTGTTGCTGCTCTTAGAATCGATCTCGTTCTTGGATTTCTCCTCTTCACCTTCCCATGCGTCGACCACGTCCAGACCTTGCATAAAATCTTCATCATCCAGAAACTCTTGCAGTTCCTCGTCCGGTATTTCCTTCAGTCCCTCGATAGCACGTTGAACATCCTCGTTCGTGCTTTTCAAGAGTCCAGTCGATTCCACTTGTTTATGCTTTCCATTGTTGTCCTTGACACTCGAATTTTTCATTTTTTTTGACGAATCGCACATGTTACCTCTCTCGTCTTCACTGTTTCTTATTACTCGAGAACGCGTGAAACTTTTACTTCAAAATTCAACCCTAACATTTTTCGTTAGATCACATTTAGGACAAATTTAAGGCTGCGAGCGAGGGCAAAAAATATTTTAGACAGGCAGGTGATCAAGTAAGTTAAATTTCATCTCGAATTACGTCTATAATCCATTTGTTGGGAATAACAACAAACGAAACTCCCTTAACCTTCCAATTTTGGAATACACAGAATTAATATCAACACTCTCATTACGTAATTATCGTAACAATCTTTATTGAAAAATGAAAGTAACTTAAAAAAAGCTTTCCTTCCTGAATCCTATTCAAACAGTGTACATCCACTGTTTAAAAACTAAAAAATTGTCTTCGACCAAGTACAAGTACAAACCAATTGCCCCAGTTTGTACGCACTTATTGTTAAAAAATATTCCGTACAATTTTCTACATACGTTACACGTGACTGCATCAGAATATTTACAAAGAACATGTATAAATGGTTGATAATGAAGATCGAACGAGCAACAGTCACTGTCAAACTCTGTTCCTTTCTTAAAAACCACTTATTTATAACTGCAAAACGTTTGGATCCGCGAGTACCGAAACTCGAAAAGTCAACATTACTCGTTTCGCCATACTAACTTTTATCATTACTACTACTACGACCACATGGATCTGTATACTGTATGCATACATGAAGTATACATATATATACGTTTTATATATATATATGTCAGATATAGGTGCGTTTCTATGCCTTGCATTTTATAATTACTTTTTTATTTCACGCATACATTATTTTCCGAACACAATCTCAACTCGTGCATATTTAATACATGTAATAAAATGCGTATAAAAATTCGTAGAAGTAGAAATAATGATTACAGAACTGCAGTCTACGTTTGCACTCTACAGTATAAGAAAGAATTATATTATTACGTAGTTCATGTTCGATCCTGTCCAGTCCTGTCCTCGTGATCTCGTGTTTAATTTGAAAATGTTTCAGTTGGTTTCAGTCTTCAGTTGATTGCAGTTGATTGTTCTGAATCTTTCTGACCATTCTTCTGAGAAGAGGAGTTCTGTAATTTCAAGCTCCAAGCACCATCGTCGTTTAAAGGAATCCGATGTTATCTCGGATCCTAATTGTCTCGAATTGTGCTGTATAAAAATTGACAAAGGTATCTGGATAAAGATGGATAGCTCGAACAATGAGTCGTGCGATTCGTACGTTATATCTGACAGTGAGGAAGAGGATATCACCGAGATCCATGGCGAGGACAAAGGAAGTAACGCAGTTATTATTATTGATAGTACTGATACTTCAGGAACAACAACACCAGCAGAGTAAATAACAGTTCATCTTCTTACTTTTGATGAGCTTGCGTTTGTCCCGAAGTACTTGAATTCCTAATTTTCATTTCAGAAATCTATCGAAAGGAAAACTATTGCTCACAGAGGAAGATATCAAACGTAGAATTAAGGAACAGATTCCTTCTTTCTCTGATGAGGACAATACAGATGATGAAATTGATAATAAGTCAAAACGTTTTGCTAGTGACTCTTCTGTATCAGGTGGATCATCTGAATCGGATAATAGCAGCTTAGTTGGTACTGTATTTGGTGCTATATATATGTTAATGTAGACAATATTTGTTTAAATTGTATTGAACCTATGTTTAGATGCCCATATGAGTGAAGCTCATGAAGACAATGCACTACATACAGTAAAAGCATTTTTAAAGAAAGAAACTATTAAGTATCGCGATTATGAAGAAGACAGTGATTCAATGGAATCAAGTATAACTATAAGTAATATTCTCTTTAAATAAATGCCTAGATACTCTTACCAATTCATCGGGTCTGTACTAAAAATTGATTTTTAGATTCAATTGAAGAGAACGATAATAATTCGCGAGCTGATTACGACATCCTTTCAGTATCCTTGGCGCAAGAGGAAGTAGGTGATAACAACATAGACCCAGTGACTGCACAAAAGAGAGCTTTCCTTGCTTGTAGAAAAGAGAGATTACAGAAAGATTTAAGAGATGCAAAGGTGAATAATTATAACTGCAAGAAGATTGATAGTTACGAATTAGAGAAACGAATCTAATTTTGTATTTTGTCTTATAGCTCTTGCTCTCTGCTAGTAATATTGATTTACTGCCAGACAAAGGAGAAAAGGTGCGCAGATGTATTGCTGAACAGGAAAAGGAATTGGAGGACGTAATGACTGAATTAAAAAACACACCGTTAGTCCGCCTCAGGTCCAATTCGCACACACCCAATTCGCATACATCCAATTCGCTGGGTGCTAAAATATTTGGAAAGACCAGTATATCGACGGAAGAATCAGAGAAGGATATGGAAGCTTTAGAATCGATTAATGATAGGCTGCAGGATTTGCATGGTTCTCTCGAGACCAGGCCAAGCGAAGACGAAAAGGCGCGGGATCCGGTAGGCTTAATAGTAAAACTGATGCCACATCAACAACACGCATTGGCATGGTTGCTGTGGCGGGAGCAGCAAAGGCCTTCCGGTGGTATTCTCGCTGATGATATGGGTCTCGGGAAAACCTTGACAATGATATCACTGATCATAGCCAGCAATGCGAAAAATCTAGACGAATGGAAAGACGATTACCAGAGAACAGATCGACCAGTGCGACATAAAGGAGGGACACTTGTGGTTTGCCCCGCATCTTTATTAGATCAATGGGAAAATGAAATACGTAACAGATGCAAGCGTGACACGCTGAAGGTCACGATTCACCATGGTACGAAGCGAGCAACAGCGGCTAAAATATTGTCGAGAAACGATGTAGTGATAACCACGTATAACATCCTGGCCCGCGAACACGGTAACGGTACTACATTTTTAATCGATTGGGAGCGTATAATACTCGACGAGGCGCACATAATTCGCAATCATAAAACTAAAGCTTCCGAAGCCGTGTGCGATATTTCGGCTAGGAAGCGTTGGGCCCTCACGGGTACGCCTATTCATAATAAAATGATGGATTTATATTCTATAATGAAATTCCTCAAGTGTTCACCATTCGATAATATACGAGTGTGGAAGCGTTGGGTAGAGAAAAAAGATGCTATTAGTAACCAACGGTTGGGTACTGTGATGAGAAGCTTAATGTTGCGCAGGACGAAAGATGAACTACAAGCTAAGGGTGAGATGAAATCACTGCCACAGAAATCTTTAGAAGAGATATCAGTCACGTTGGATCTTCCGGAACAGTTAGTATATAAGAAAGTGTTGATCTATTCTCGTACATTGTTTGCTCAATTTCTGGCTCAAAGAAGCGAGAGGGCTGGCATGGATTACTGGTCTTCTAAGCAACGTAAGTACATACTAGAATCATCTGTTGCGTTAAAATGATCGAAGGACTGGTCGTCATGGTTTTTGTTTTGTTTTAGATAAAAATATTAAATTTACAAGAACTGAGAACCTACTATTATCCGCACATGCTGATGTTAAAACGCATGAGATCTTGGTGCTCTTGTTAAGACTGCGTCAAATTTGTGTGCACCCATGGCTTATTAATTCCATGCTGGACGAAGAAGACATGCAAGCAGGCGGAATGGCCGATGCGGATAATTTAGATCCACGTTTGTTGTCGCAGATAAACAAAATAAACCTGCACGATAGCGTGGAGATGGCGGACATAGAAGACGAAACTGTTGTTGATCAAAGGCTAGCTGCCAACTTATTGACGTCTGCCAATCCAGTCTTCAATGCTGATCGTTTGAGTTCCAAAGTAAACTTCCTTATATTTTCAAATACAAAAAAGAAATGTATCGTATCATATTAAAATTGTATTTAATTTATCGAATCGTGTGTCTCGAGTTTAGATGAGGATGGTGTTCGATAAAATTCAGGAGATCTTACAAAAAGGAGATAAAATAGTGGTTGTGTCCCAATGGACGAGCACGTTGGAACTTATCGCGAGTAAATTAGATGTGATTAAGGGTGCTACTTATAGTATGTTCACGGGCAAATTGAAAATCAAGGACAGACAGGTAGTTTTTACGATGTTATTTATATCGATTACCGTTGAATAATATTTTTCTTCAAATGCATAGGGAGTGGTAGATTCGTTCAATCAACCAACAAACGATCCGAAAATATTGTTGCTTTCGCTTACTGCCGGTGGTGTTGGGTTAAACTTGATAGGCGGTAACCATCTGCTGTTGGTGGATATTCATTGGAATCCGCAGTTGGAAGTGCAAGCTCAAGATCGGGTATATCGCTATGGGCAGACAAAGGACGTTCACATCTACAAGTTAGTTATTTTGCGATTTATAAAAATAATATAGAATATGTGAGGAAGAGAGAGAGAAAAAGGTGAAGAAAGCGATCACGATATGTTATCTATATATGTTGATCTATGCATTTGTTCATAGGTTCATCTGCAAGGATACGATAGAAGAGAATATAAAATCTCTGCAGGAATCGAAGTTGCAGTTGGCTCAAAACGCCCTGACCGGTGATAAGACTATCGCTTCGAAACTCACGTTAACTGATCTTAAAACGATCTTCGGCCTTTAAAAGATACAGTACCAGATATATATATATATATAAAATAGAAGAGATAAGTTTATTTATTAAAGAGTCGTTAATAATACTAATATAGTAACAGAATATAATTTATTTTTCTATGGAATTACTATATTAGTTTTATTTTTATATTTTATACTACGGTTTCTAATTAACTATATCGTTTATACAATATGACACATTTATAAAATATCAAATTTGATACAAAACCATTTGTTTATTATTAATTGTAATCCCGTATACTTAGGTTACGTGAGCCTAGGAACTTCATTCGTTTTCCATGGCTCTTCGTTGGTGCCGCCGTTCTCGGTCGATTTCACGCTTTTCGTCTTCCTCATCTTACTATGCCAGGCACCGTAGAAGAAATATATGCCAAACCCTAAAAGCGAACAACGCAGTTCAAATTACATCGTTCATTCGATTGTTTGTATCAGTTACTTGCCAACTGTCATCCACGCTAAAAATCTGACCCATGTCATTTTATCCAGCATCATCATTAGATAAATGTTGATGATGATACTCAGCGCAGGTAAAAATGGTACCAGCGGAACCTGAATGGGCAGATGAAAACTATGAATTGTTCACGAAAACGTGACGAAAAGAATACGCACCGAAAATGCGAGTTTCTTCCCCGAGGTCGGTTGAAGGTAGATGAACGTAAGCGTAACGAACATAAGTAATATTAAAACAGCTAATGGAACAACGAATGCTATTGCGCCGTTTGTTATTTCGTCAGGAAATATCGAGGCTATAATACCAGTACAAATGCACAGAAAAACTGTAAATTACATAAATCACTCATTAACGATGGGATGGATCGAGTTAAAGCCAAATACGAAAGATAAATGATCGATACGCTACCGTAACATACGACGAGGCACGTAACGATTTGAGAAGTCAACCTCGTGGAATAATTCAATCCGTTAGCGTTAATCAACTGTTTAGTGATGTACGTCAAGGTTCTTGGGTCATGATCTCCTTTTTTCAAATACGCTTCGCTCTCTTCATACCTAAAACGGATCGGACTCGGATGATGAATGCGACCCCTGATCGAGACGAATCGTTCTTTTTACCGAAGTATCAGTACGCAGATAGCGACGATCGAATATGCGAGCAACGTTCCGATGCTCATCATACCTACGAGTTGCGTCAATTCAAATATTGCTGCTAACACACCTGAAACACCGTAAGACGATATCATACATCCTCGTGGATCCATACCCGCCTGAAACGAGTGGCAGGAAGTTTACACACCTGTAAGAATCCCGGCTGAGAAAGTACCCATCAGCGGCGTGTGGAATCGGGAGTTCACTTTGCCCATCCATTCGAATATTAATCCGTCGGATGCCATCGCGTAAATGATTCGCGGCAAAGGGAACATAGCGCCCAGTAAGCTGCAAGGTAATGAGACGATCGTAAACTTCGAGCTCGGAGACGACAAAGGGACGATCTTTACCTCGCGCATAGGCCACAAATAGCGCCTATCGTTACCAGCCATTTCGCCCAACTCCAATCGATGGAGTCGAACATGTGAGGAATCGGGGCATCCGGGTCCTGCTCGTAATAGGGTAGAACAGTGGTTAAAATCGTGGAGACTCCGAAATAAGCGAGGAAGACGACGGTCAGCGAAACGACGATTGCGATCGGGATCGATTTGTGCGGATTTTTCGCTTCCTCTCCGGTGGTAGCGACGCAATCGAAACCGATGAATCCGTAAAAGCACGTAGCCGCCCCCGTTATGATACCTGCTATGCCATAAGGAGCAAATCCGCCGCTACCGTAATCACACTGTTTCTCGGTGCACGTGGGCTTCGTTTTCCAATTGCTTACGTCGGCTATCCGAGTAGGATTTTAAGAAACATGCTCTTTCTTTAAAATTTCTTAAAGTAATTAATTGTATCGATAATTGCGTTATTTTACCTTTCAATGATCCCGCGATTATCACGAAGAGGACCACCAATAGATTCACGAGGGTGAAAAAATTGTTTGCTTTTGATGACTCCTTCGCGCCAAATGCTAACGCGGCTATATTCGGGCAGGACTTTCAGTTAGCGTTAAAGTGTCGATCGTCTCGCGAGTGTTTCGGCAATCGGAATTCTAGATTAGTCTATACGAAACGTCTTCTTTTACTTCCCGTAGGATGTATCTCCTCGATTAGATAATCGAACGACGTTTCGTATACACAAATCTGTTTGTGTGAATCTATCGGCCAGTTTCTCTTACCGGAGAAGATCAGTGTCACTCCGAAAGCGAAGAAATCGGGATAAGAAGAGAGATGGCTGATGTCGATAGGAGCCGCCGATTCGAACGCGTTCCTCATGCTGTTGTTGAACAACGCGTCCACGTAAGTACTCAATCCTCTTACCACGCTAGCTGAACCGATCACGTATTCGAGAATTAACGTCCAACCGATCACAAACGCCGTAAATTCACCCATTGTTACGTAGCTGTATACGTAAGCCGATCCGGCACGTGGGACTCGCGCACCGAATTCCGCGTAGCACAGACCTAGAGAAGAAATTGTTTCGGATACTCATTCATTTCATGATGATCAAAAGACTGCAGATTTTATAGAAAAAAAAAACGGGTGTGATCTCATTTTTCATCAAAATCCACAGACTAGCAATCAGTTATCGAAATCACGCGGAACGAACGTAGTACCTGCGAACATGGAAGCGATCGCGGCAATAGCGAATGAAATGATCACGGCAGGACCGGCGATCGATTTCGAAACGGATCCGGCGAGTACGTAAATGCCTACGCCGAGGGTCGAACCGATTCCGAGAGCCGTCAGATCTAAGGTAGACAAATACCTCGGAAGTTTCGTGTCCTGCGAAAGGTTCACTTCCTTTTTTCGACTGAACGTCCCGTATAAACTTTGCAGTTTCCACTTCTTCATGTTTGATAACTGAAACCGACGTTCTCGATAAACGTGTTGAATTTTCGAAAACTTAATTCGTTCTCTCTTCTCTGTTTCTTCTTTTTACGGAAAGCATTAGAATGCGTGCATTTATCATTAGAATGCGGATTTTTTGCAGATACAAAAGAAATGAATTTCCAAAAAGATGAAGATTTGAATCAACGTTCAAATGATAGAATAAATGTTTATCTAAAGGACATTTGTTTAAACTGATATTCATACATATATTTTGTGTAAGAATCCACAGACTATCGTTGATAAAAAATTAAAATTCGCTCACCATGTAAAGTGTGGTCAATGAAGAATCCATCTTTTCGATTTGGATAGAAACTACGGGAGCCGAATGAATAAGACGGGTTGAACATTCGGTTTATTACTAACGAGCGGTAATTAAAATCCGAGCTGATAGTTCGTCTCGTGCGAAGAACTCGTATCGTTCAATTGGTCGAGAATCGTTTCGTCGCGTCGCGTCGTCACTGGGGAGTCGATTATGACCGCTCCAACTACTCTATAGGTCTATATCGGTCACCCACTTATAATATTGATGTTAACTGACGTGATCGTATCGATCTCTTATTTTGTTGATTCTGATAAGTTTAGATAGCGTGAAACCGAATGTTTCTCTCAAAATTTCTTATGAACCCGAAATGCACGATTTTAATCTGATCGATTTCTTTGAAATTATGAAATTTTATTTTATTCTCATGTAATAGCTATGGTACAATTGTTTCCGTGACGTCAACTGTTGTATTTGATCAATCAGTTATACCGTTGACGCGCTAACTAACGAATGCAAGCTAATGCGATGTTATTAAGTAAGAAAAACGATTTTCGGTTTAGAAACACTAATTCGCAATCGTTTAAACTTTGCTGATTAACATACTCAATGCATATAATCATTTTTAATTGAATTCTACTTGAAACAGAGAAGGAAAACATGAGTTTCGTACTTACGTGCAAGTTTACTGAACAGCTGAAGGATGCTGAAGAAAGATTTGATTTGGACGAGACGACACTGCACGGTATAATGCACAGTGTGCACTCGTGAATTGTTTTTCTAAGTAGTACGATCGTCTTTATTCTGCTTATCTGTGCAGATATCGAATATCCCTTAACCGACATAATCGCATGAGATCAAAGATATATTGCTTTAGAGTTAGGCATGTGTCATCTTTATCAAGGAATTACCTCAAAGTTAGATACTTGTCGCAAGGAAGATAATAAATCATTATGAAAGAAGATATACTTTGTATGTTACGTATAAATTTATTAACAAATACAATATTCTTAACGTGTCATAGATTAAATTGTATAAAACAGTTGGACGGATGTTACACGTATGGACGGAATTATATACATAAGCGCTTTAGTAAAAAAAATCAGATTTGTCTTCATCGTTCTAAACCTATTATCGCAATACACATGCGCGATACTGATTGCGTGAACTGCTACTCGTCGTCACGTTCTTCCTTCAAAATGCGTACTTCGCAAATCTTGTACGTGCAGAATTATACATGCAGGTACAATTGAAATGTACATTATACGTGGTGCGAAGGCACCAGGTTCACCAGTTATACTCGCAGATTCATTCTGTTCCATACACCGATTAGAGATGCTAAGACAGGAATCACGACTAGCCATCTGGCTTCTACTTTTTGCCCTAGAGACTGAAACAAAGTCATGTCAAGAACGTTTAATACTTACGATATTTGGAGGATAGATCTACGACTTACAATGACATAGTAATTGCATTTATCTCCTTGGCAACAATCCGAACACTTCCAGTCTTGGTACCATATATAAGTACAATCTGGCATGTTCGCGTGTTTTATCCTCTCGCATTCTTTCTTCGTCGCGCATCGCTTCGAAACGTAGAACTGTTTCTTTGCGCCCTGCGACCAGTACGGTGTACCTATAAACATGAAGATAACCTCGAATTTTGTTTACTCACTAACGTGTGTACATGTGAATCCTGAAAAAGTGCAAGACTTACTTCCCCATTTAATTTCTGTCAAGCAAGTGTCCTGGCCTTGCTCGCAGGTCTTCGTGCTCCTCAGACACTTCTCTCTGTTACCCTCTTGATCAGTACATACATAGCATTCAAGGGCGTGGCCTAAAAATATTCATAAATGACGAGAAATACCTTACAGTCGGAAGTTTACGAAACGTACTGAACGATAAGTAACAGAAGATAAAACTGAAGATTAAATAAAATATTGACGTTTTCATTGTTAAATATTGTTCGTCGATCACAAAAACGAAGGGACGCGTACTCGCACTAAACCACACTAAACTATCAAATGTGGGGTGGGGAGACCACAATGGGAACGGCAGTGTCAGTTGTTTGAATCGGACATCGAATGAAGCCAGTAGAAAAATCGAGTTTACGTTGGCACAACTGTCCAAGTTAATATTTTTAAATTCGAAAGGAAGAAATAGGAAGCAAACCACTATCATACTTTGTGTAGTTTCGTATGAAACATCTTTTGCTAGTATCAATAATTAATGAGTAATTTGCAATAAATGTCGTTTTTTGCTAGCGAGAAATGTTTCAGACAAAAGTTGAACCTCTGGTCGTCACCTAAAAATAAGGTTGTATGCAATTTTCCCGTAGGTTCAGGAGTATTTGAAGAAAAATAATTTATTTTTGCTAAAAGTTTGTTTACAGCCGGATTAATTATGCTTAATTTGTTAAATACTGGAGTTATAAGGCAAAGTCATAGATCCTTTCTTGTAGAGGATGCCAATGACTACAACTTCTGTATAAATCTTTTTTCGCTAGTGTCAATAATTAATTAATAAATATAATTGTTTATTAATTAATTATTTCTTCGTCCTAGCGAAAAATGTTTCAGACGTTGCACGTGTCATCATTAAGAATAGCCAGCGGAGATATTGACCCGCGCATTAGAACACGAGTTAGAAAGTTTCTGGTTGAGCGGCTTAGAATCGAATAACAGCAGCTCTCAATCTATGTATCTTGCGGGTTATTTTAACGGGAAATTTGCTTTCAGCAGTTTCGGACGATTCCAACGACAATGCATGTAATTCAGTTGATGGATAGAGAGACAGAAAATGATCATATTTGTAAGTACGATTAAAAAGTAATGATCCCTTAGGAGGTTCATAGAAATATTTCGTATCACCGTAAAACGCTACATCCAGTTGCGAGAAAACTGCATGTTATAACGTTTCTACCTTCCCTCCCTGTCTTTCAATAGAAGTGGAGCTGCGTCATTGTTGCAGCAAGGAGGCAACATGCATAGATTAATACGCAGCGAGACGAGCGAATGGAAAGAATGGAAAATAAATTTTAGAAAACGGTAAGTTTGGTACTGTGAAAGAAACGAAAAGATTGGAGAGAGGAGATAAAGGGAGGAATGCAGACCAGGCCGTGGATGAAGCAAGGTACCCCCAGGACGCAAAGGGGAGGTTTGACTCAGCTGGTGCATTCGTTCTGCCCTCTCCACGTTCTGGTCCCCTGGAACTCTCCCTCGGGGTTTCGGTCAGGTCGCGTGTGCAAGCGGACGTCGAATGTCGATATCGGAGTGCGCGGCGCAGGCTGAGCAGTGGCAGTGTCGAGCCACTGCGCCGAGAATCTAAAATTATCGGTCCGTTCGAGAGAGGGGAATGCATGGCATCACATACGGTAGAAGAGGAGAGAAACGCAAGAGAGCGAGCGAGCCCGATAGACCTATGCGCGAAAGGAAAGAGACAGAGGATGAGGGGCAGAACTGTACTAATAGAAATAGATAGATGAAAGAAGATGTGACCAAGCGCAAAGGGGGTGAAGCGAGAAGGCCGAGACGAAGGGGACGTTAAATGCACGTTCTCGATATACTAGTGTATAGCGATTTAATTGAAACGAAGGTGTAGTCGATGATTCCCAGAAGGAGGAAAAGGGAGGCTCGAGATGGAAAAGAGGAAAGCACAGAGAAAGAGGACGAGCAGGGTAAAGAGAGACACGTGATACGAGGAAGCCGAGTAGAGGTGGGACGACGGCACAGACGCTCGAACATAAGTAAGGAAAAACCAGGCGGGGAGGTGTGCAGTGGCGCCGGGAGGTGGTAGAGGAAGAGCTGGAGGTGGTGGCGGTAGCGGTGGTGGCAGAACGGCGGCAGAGAGAGAGTCGTCGTCGTCGTCGACGGTGCCCGTCGGTTTCGGCGCGAGTCATCGCGAGAAGGGACGTTTACCTATCGCACGTCGTCCGAGGTGTCGAAGTATACGTACACGGTTTCGACGGACCGCGTGAGCGACAACAGAAGCGGCGTTCTCTCACCCTCTTTTCTCTCTCTATCTCTCTCTCTCTGTCTCTCCTTCGCTGGTCCTTTCTCCCGTTCCCGTTTTCCTTCGATTTTCCGCCTCCACTTTGGATTTTCCTCAGCTTCGCGAACGCGACCCGTGGATTGTCGATCGTCGCGTCCCGCTCGTCGTCGAGCTGCTGCAGGCGCAGGGGTCGAACGGGTGTGCGCGCTCGCATCCTCCTCGATTGACGAGTGAAGATCGAGGAACCGCGAGCGAGGAGGAATAGCGCGAAGAGGAAGGGTGTTCGAGCAGTGCGGAGGTTGCTCCTCGGCGTTCTCTCGGAGGCGATCGACCACTTGAACGCGCACGATGGCGGACGATCAAGACGCAAACAACACGTGCGAGGATTCCCTCGGTCCCGGCGACGCGAACACTATGTTCGCCAAGAAGATCCGGGGCCGGAAGGGAGCCCTCAAGAAAAAGAATGTCTACGTCGTTAAGAATCACAGCTTCATGCCCCGGTTCTTCAAGCAACCCACTTTCTGCAGCCACTGCAAGGATTTCATATGGTGAGCCCTTTAACAGTCGACGATCATACGCGGAGCTCGCGACCGATCATACGTTCCGTTTCGCCCGTTTGGAATTTGCACTTGCCATTGTCCTTGCCTCGGTCTCAGCTTCTTTCTCATTGTCCCGCTCTCCGTCTCTGTCTCGCCCTTTTCTTCTCTTGTTATAAATCGAGTTTATAGCTGCCGGTAGAGCGGCTCCGAGCATCGGTTAAACGGTCCGACCTTGGGTATACTCGCGCTTGGTCCAAATTAGAAACGGCCGAGCAAGAGGTCAATTTGAACGCGGGGTTTTCGAATGCCTTCGAACGATCGATCGTTTCATCGAGCGCAATTTATTTTCCTGCCCTGTATATCAATTTCGATGATCATCGCGACGGTAAACACACGACGAACGCGGGAAGCGGAAGCGAGTCAGGCACCGACAAACAATAATAATTGATCGCCGTTCCAGACATCTGTTTACACATCTACTCAGTATCGAGGGGTCCGACGCGAGACAGTTTTTCCATTCAAATGTTACGTACGTAGCTCGTGCAATCTAAACGTCGTAAAACCTGCATGAATCATGATACTGACCACGGCGACCGCAATCCTTTTCAAACAGATATCGACGCGTATCCAAGAATCCGACTCTTTCAAGCGACGAACGTTTACTTTCCTCACGGCCACGTCCAAATCTGAATTATCCGTCACGGTGTTAATTAGCATAAAAATAGGTGAGGAAATGGCGGTCTCCGCACGGCATGGTCGAACTACTTATATCTCAACCGCGTACATTTACGTAGCGTGCAGTTGAAACGGTCACAGCCGTTAACGCACAATAGCGAGTAGCGAGGCGACCCAGTAACCAAACAGTTTCAACTTGTTTCACAGACATCGATTTTGCCGTTTAGAACGAACAGCGGCAGCGCGCAACAGACGGTCTCCGATCGGATTCTTTCACGGGCTTCTGTCGTTGCCATTTCACGGCTTAAACACGGCACTGCCGCACGATGAACATCATCCTTATATGCTAATAATAATAATAATCAGCCGGTTGGAAAACCCCAGATCGTTCCAACCAACCGATCGCAGTTGATTTTCTCGTTGCCGCGTTTCTCTCGGTTTGCTTCAGTTCGGCTCGGCTAGGGTTAAAGAGATCGACCGCAAATAATTGGGTTAAATTGCGACAAATACGTTTAAACCATGATCCTGTTCGCGATTCTATCCGATAACTGGAATAATCCGACTGGATCCGATCCGAACCGATCCGATCCGACTCGAGCAGCGAATATTATAGATGCTGGTCCATCAGATACGAAATTCGTGTAACTGTTTTAACGCATAAAACGCATAAGCGAAGAGTTTTCAATAGTTAAGCCGTACCATGACCATACGCGGCGATACGTGCGTACATAAATTTGTATCGATCCGTGACCAAATATACTCAAGGATGCGAGCTATAAAAGTATTAAAGATGCTTCGAAGGGAGCGAGTAAGTAATAAATCGGCCGATCGAACGTTCGAACGGTACACGTGTCGTTTTCATTATCGCGTTTTAAATATGCACGTAGTCGGCCGATAGCCGGTCGAATTTATTTGCCCACTGACTCATTTTTTGTCCCGTCGATATACGACCAGTGTGTGAAGACGGCCGGTCGACAGATAAAGACGGATGAAGCGTTTTTCGCGAGCTTCGTTCGTCGTTTCTTGTTACCTAACTCACGATGCACCTCCTGGACGCCTTTGCCCTCCGATCGGCACGGAACGGAACGCGTGCCTCCGGCTGACCACGACATTTATTTCGCTGGCTTCTGTCTATATATTCGCGAATCACGTGTCCCGATCGCGAGCCGGTGTAACGTATTTAAAACCGTAAGCCGTAAGTCGTTATCTATGGAGTTATGTGGTTTCGCGTGACGAACTTTGTTTTATCCGTCCCTTCCTTTTCTCGCGGCACGTGCACGTTTTCAGTTTGATCGCGAAACTTTCTTTAGCGCGTGTTTCGCTCGCACGCATTCCGCCAATTAGTGTCAACGCGCGTCAATTTATTCGTTACTCGACGCCGTCGTCGTCCCCTGTTTTTCTTTGCATTCGCGCTACGGAGATCGTGACGATTTTCTCACGAGCGGCTACTCTCTTACTAGGGATGCTCGATTCTCCGCAAAGAATTGATTCTCGAATTGATTGTGAATCGGAATCTTTTAGATAAATGGTGTTGGATAATGGGCAGGTATTATTAAAGGACATTGTGCTCAATAAAATAACAAATATTTTGTCATTCAAACATCATTTGTTACTTAATTACTATTCGTTTAAATGGTAAAGAATGTAAAAACAGTAATTAATGCAAATGTTCCGCTGTTAACTTATCTCTGTGATAATATGTATATCAAAATATTTCCCCAGAGGGCAAAAAATCTTACATTCTATCGATTTTGGAGAAAAGGACGTGGATGTGTTTCCTGATTTCCTACAAACGAACCAAGTTATGCTTCGTCTCCAGTTCGTTCGACATTTGTTCCAGCGAAACGGAATCAATTGTTTTTCTGAATTTGTTGTAACATTTATCAACATCTATGCATACTTAGATTAAATGATTAAAAAATCGGAAGTCATTGGAAATTGTAGTTCTTCACTTGTTAGCGTATCCGAGTCTAACTCGTGAACTCAGTTCAGACACTGATTTTAAGTAGCCGTACATAGGATTGATCATTTGGGCAAGGATTGTAAAATAAAAATGCCAAGATTCGTTTCATCCATTTATTTGTTAATTCAAAGTAAATCAGATATTTTCTTTATCGCAATATTTATTAGCGCATGTATTAAGTTAATGATGTACAATTTAACATACAAATACAGAGATTCTTAAGCTAGATCGTAGTTCTTCGCTTGGTACCGTTTTCAAAGACTTTGAAAACGCTACCAACCCAGGTCTCACCGCGTGGAGGTGACTACGTTCGAGACCCGGACAGTGGACAATCCCCACTGCCCCCTTCCCTATTAAATTGCCACCCTATTATACGGAGCGAATATTAGAGACGGATTTTAGACGATTGCGAACAAGACTCTAACTATTGACTCTAACTATGGACTAACTATTGACTCTAAATGGAAACTAAGGTGAGAACAAAATGTCAGACTTCACTTGGGCACCAGAGTTCGAGCCGAGCAGGATACTGCACCCGAATGACGATGCCTCAGCGCAGGAATGGCCTGACCACGACCAATCCGTCTCACGGAGCTTACGCACTGCACCTGGGAATGGAACAGGAACACCCCTAGCGACTGACGAGACAGGCCAGCCGAGATACAGGACCGCAACTCTTTTCTCCCTCCGGTACTCGAGCAAAGTCTGACTGGTAAACTACTATTCGCGGCGCGGGTATACTAAAACGCGAGCAAAATGGATTGACTGAAACGAGAGAAAGAGGGATGAAGTTAAATTCGCTCCGTTATAGGGTGGAATTTAGAAAGGCATACTGCACACTAGTACCGGTACCCACACACTCATACTCATACCGCACACCGCACACGCATACTGGGATGGGATGGGAAAAGGGGTGTCTCGATCGGCCGATCGAGTGACTCGAGGAGCGTCGGGGCTCTGTATTTATACCCTCTCGGCGATCGACGGTTTGGGCAAAATGACGTCTGCGCAAAATGATTGGCCGATTCTTAGGAGGTTCGGCTCCTAATTTGCATATTCGTTTTCTCCCGCATTTATCGATAATCGGGCAGGATTTTTTGGGTCATTCCAAAGGGAATGACCACTGACTTTAAGTACCCACCCCTAGGATTGGTCATTCGGTCATCTGGTCAAGGATCGCGAAATAAAAATTCTGAGATTCGTTTCTATTAATGTATTAATCAGAATTCGGCCATTTGCATTAATCGATCATAATTACTCGGGTTATTTTAAAGCGAGTGACCACTGACTTATAGTAGCCATCCCCAGGATTGGTTATTTGATTAAGAATCGTGAAATAAAAATGCCAAGATTTTGTTTCGTGCATTTATTAATAAGAATTTGGGTATTTTTACAATGCATATAATAATATTACAATTTATACAGCCGTTATAATCTTACGAGCTATTTCCATAAATGGCAGCAAGGAGTACGGGTTTTTCATAGCAAAATTATTTTTGTCTCAATTTTTAGAAAAGTTACGTTTATTTAGAACGATTTACATTGAAAAATGGAATTTAATAATTGGTCATTTCACAGGGAGTGACCAGTTGACCACTGACTTTAAGTACCCACTCCTAGAATTGATCATACGGTCATCTGGTCAAGGATCGCGAAACAAAAATTCTGAGATTCGTTTCTATTAAATAATTGATTGGATATTTCCTTCTATACTTTTTAGCACGTAGCTATTTATTATTAGCATTATTCTTCCGACGTCTGATTTCTTTTTAATTATAGGAAATGCGTTTTTCTAAGGTACATAAACTTTTGGGATTGACTGTATAATCAATACATCTTTAAGAGACATCTGAAAATGTTGCTTCTCTAAGTTCGGTCATTATTTCACACGCCTATTTACGTGCATATCTTGTTCGACGGGAATTCAAACCGAAGCGACAGTCGCGAGTAAACGAAGCGTCCGCGATTGATCCGAATACGTATCGGTGCACGGATTCCGGCCGGATCTCGGTCATTCCTCGAAGCTCACGATCGAGCCGAACGTCCCGTCGCGTTTATGCCGAACGATTTCGAATTTCCGTCCAGCCATCGAACGGCGAACGGAATTCCTCCCGTCATCTCTTCACTCGCGTTACACAATTTTCCTGTTTATTATCGCCGAGGTAATTATACAGATTGAATCGATACCAACTACCATTATCTTTCATTTATTCCTTTTTACCACAGAGCCTTGTTGCCGTTTCATGTTGCGTCGCATAAATTGTTACATTCGACCAGCTATCACATGAGATATTGTATTAATTTTTTATATTCATAGCAACGTGCGAGTCGAGCCTGCGACATTAATGACAGAACGGCCGGTCTCATCGTTCCCGGTTGTCATACGAGAAAACGGAAAAATGTTGGAACGCGGATACATTAATAGACTCGTTACTTGGAAGTTACAATGATTTCCCGTGCACCGAGCGACGTTCTAATTCTAGATTCTAAAGTCGATTCTTTCGGTGTCACTCCCGGCGAGAGAGTTACGTTCTGAATTTCGTCGGGCCGATTTATTCGCACGATTCATGTAATATTTCTCAGGGCGAAATCTAAAAAAGAGTTACGTCCCACGAAAGCGAGCGCGCGTCCTGGCCGAAGGCCAAAGCGTGCGCTGCCTGTTGAATTTTGCATCGAACGGCGAAACAGGATAGTTTGTTTTCGTACATACGTACCTAGCATCTGCATAGGCAAGCTTCCCGGGTGGTACACGGTGACACTTGGACGTCCAAACGGAATTAGCAGCTAATCTTTGCCACGCGGAAATGGAAATTGATTCATAAAATTGTTGGCCGACCGGCGGCAGTCGGTCGGTTGTGTAAATCGCGTAAATTTGCATCGGATGTAGAACGCGGATATTTTCATTGTTACACGCTGCGAATCGAGCAAATACCAAATATCAGTATCGGGCAGGGAAAGATACGACTCCTGTTCCCAGAAAAGTATTGGTTATCTCGGTATCTGGGATTCGAGAGGCGTGTGCTTTCAACAATTTTTTTTTCATAGTCCGCCGAGACCCGGGGGACAAGGAAAGTGGGAGGAGGGGGGTTAGAAGATCGATGAAAACCGAGCGAACCCAATTAGCTCGGAACAAAAGGCTTTCGATGGATTCCTCGCGTCGCGCCGCGCCGCGCCGCGCCGCGCGTGCATCCGTTTCGTCGTCGCGAATCTCGACGAGCCCGAGAAACCTGTCACGGTTCAACGAGCATCCACACGGACATTACACACGTGTGCACGGACGTGTAGGTCGCAAGGACCAACGAACACGGTTATGCGATTTCGTGATCGATTGCATTTTCGCGAAAAAGAGAAGATGCATACGGCCAGGCGCAGAGGAGCAGATCTTCACGTTTGTTCCTCCACGTTCATTCAAACCTTTGACTACACATTGGGTCGCCAGTTGCACTGGCTTCCAATGTTAAGAATGTTAAGAGAGTTCCGCTTTCGGGACCCATACGTCAATCGAACAGCGGCAATTTTAAGTCAGTCACTTTAAATTGTACATAGTATCCATGTGTACAGTCAAAGGCAGGTATTCTTAAGGATGTATTGGCTATACAGTCAATTCCAAAAGTTTATGCACGTTAGAAACACATTTTCTAAAAAGAAATCAGACGTCGGAAGAACATTGCTAATAATAAACAAAA